CTGTTTATGCTGATAGAAGAAGAGTAATTTCTATAGCATGTGGCTTGGGGTTTAGAATAACTACTCCTGAGGTTCCAGACCTAACTTACTCTTAAGAGGTTTTTAAAATGTGTTTAAAGAAATTCCATGGTTATACCCGACTATATCTAATGACCACCTGGTGGTTGATGTGCTCAGCCTCAGGTTTATCTGTTCTGTGCATTGACTTGCCACCATGCTACCTGTTATAGGCTTTTATATTCCCAAAGGGCAGAAATCCCATCTGCAGAAACCCTTCTCCTTGCAGATACTAGTACAAAACTAGTAATAAAGAGGTAGTCATTCTTAAGTAGGACCCCAGACATCCTAAGGTAAATTAAAACTGAAATGCACAAATTAAAATCTTTCAAGGGCAGTCGGCTGGGAAAAAAAATAACAGGAAACAAAAAACCAGAAACAAAAACTTTCAAGCGTAGAGCTCCCTTTCCCTCTTATCCCCCAAACCTATTAAAGGAAGCATAAAAGGGAGAGAAAGCGACTATTTCCACAAGAAAGGCCTTAGCATGGCGGTAGGCAGGGAGGAATATGAGGGCTCAAGAGGGTGTCCTAAGGGGCACAGAGCCCTGCCATCTGACCCCGTCTTCAACTCTGAGAATCCTGAGGCCGGGGTGTGAGGCCCTCCAAGTACCCCTCTGTCTCCTCCACTTGGAAGAACTAGTCTCTCCCTCAGACTCTGTGGCCCCTCTGGCCTCGACCTGGCCCGCCTCAACCTCGTACAGTCGCTCTCTCAGAGAACGACTCTTCAGTTTCTTCTACCAGGAGACAAGGTCTAGGCTCCTAGATTAAATCATCATGCTGTCCTTTCCAGAGGCTACCATAATGATGACCAATCCCAGGGGGCTTCCCTGGGCTCCGGTTCACCCCGACTTCCGGGGCCCACCCTGTTCCCGGAGTCTCTGAGGCAGGCCGGGAGGCCGTGGCTCCCCCACCCCTGACCCGGTGCAGTGCATCTGAGGAAAACCGCTCTGGAGGTTAAGCACAGAAGCCTCCTGGAAGAGCCAGGGCTGTCTTCCGTCACAGAGAAAGAAAGGGCGTCTAGGAACTCCAAGGTAAAGCTCAAGAGGAGAAGCCAGCGCCCTGGCAAACTCCTCGAGATCCCCGGGAATGCCGAACCCATCCGCGAGGCCCTGGCAGTTCCTCAACCTTCCCCCCATCCTCACCTCACTTCCCTTCCGCTCGCTCAACCCTAACCCCTCCCGCCTCCACCTCTGCGGGTCCGCACGAGCCGGACCCGGGGCTGCGCGGATCGGTCTGGAAGCCACAGAGTTCCGCCGAGGCCGCCTAAGTATGCGCGAGGCCGCCTAAGTATGCGCGACCCCGCCCCCAGGGTGCCCTCTGACCAATGAGAGCCATGCCCCGTCCCCTGAGCCCGCCCCCGCTGCTGCACGCAAGTAACGGTTTTAACGGTCCTAACGGTTTTAGCGGTTAATCCTGTAATCTTTGGCAGGGCCTGCCGGCCTACATTTCGCCATGCACCACTTCGCGCCACACCCAGCCCACACGCACCTCACGAGATGGACTCTCACACCTCCACACTCACACCCTGCAGCCCATCCACACCTCGCCGGGAATCCCTTCGCTAATGCAGACCTCTCCAGAGTCACCTTACACACAATGGTTATTGATGGCTTTCCAAGCCACGAAATGGGATGAAATCACCAATGAAGGAGTATGGATGGAAAAGAGATTGTACTGTGTCCCAGGACATACAACTTTAGAGGCCCAGATGCGAAAAAAACAGCAAAAGGACCTGAGTGGGCGTGGTCAGGCACAGAGGAAGGACACCAAGAGAGTGAGGTGTTGTGGAAGCTGCCTGGACTGTCTTTCAAAGAGGGGATCAGCTGTGTCAAATGTTGTTGCTGAGTCAAGGAAAATGAGGAATGAGAATTAATTATTGGTGACCTTGACAGGAACAGTTTGTGATGTAGTGGGGACAAAAGCCTGACTGGTGTGTGGATTCAAAAGAGGTAGCTGATAAAGGACTGGTATCCAAAATATATTTTTTTAAAAACTCTTAAAATTCACAGAAAAAAATTAAACAGTGGGCCAAAGATCTGAACAACCTCACCAAAGAAGATACATAGATGGCAAATAAGCATGTGAAAAGATGCTCAATATTATATGTTATTAGGGAAATGCAAATTAAAACAAGATACCACTACACAACTATAAAAATGGCAAAAATCCGGGATGCTGGCAGCACAAAATGATGGTAAGGATGTGGAGCAAAAGGAACTCTCATTGCTGATGGGAACGTTAAATGGTATAGCCACTTTGGAAGATGGTTTGGCAGTTTCTTACAAAACTAAGCGTACTCTTATCATATGATTCAGTAATCACACTCTGGTATTTACCAAGAGGAGCTGAAAACTTATGTCCCACAAAGACCTGTACCTGGATATTTACAGCAGCTTTGTTCATAATTGCCAAAACTTGGAAACAACCAAGATGTCATCTACAATAGGTGAATGAATAAACTGTGGCACATGCAGACAACGGAATCTTATTCAGCAGTAAAAAGGAATATCTATCAAGCTATGAAAAAGCATGGAGGAAGCTTAAACTCATTTTACTAAGTGAAAGAGTCAATCTTGAAAAGGCTACATACAGTGTGATTCCAACCATATGACATTCTGGAAAAGGCAAAACTCTAGAGATAGTAAAAAGATCAGTGGTTGCCAGGGGCTAGAGGGGGAGGGAGGGATGAATAGGTGGAGTACAGAGGATTTTTAGGGCAGTGAAACTATTCTGTGTGATACTAGAACGGTGCATACCCATCCTTTTACATTTATTCAAACCCACAGAATATACAACACCACGAGTCCACTCTAAGGTAATCTATGGTCTTTGGGTGATTATGTTGTGTCATTTTAAGTTTAGCAATTATAGCAAACATACTATTCTGGTGGGGGATGTTGATAATAGAGGTTATGCATGTGTGGGGGCAGGAGGTAAATGAGAAATGTTTGTACCTTCCACTCAGTTTTGCTGTGAACCTCAAACTACTCTAAAAAATAGTCTATTTTAAAAATGAACTTAAAAAAAAAGAGCAAGAGGAGAGATTTGGCATATTCATGCAGTGGAAAGTTACTAAGCAATAAAAAGGAATGAATGATTGATAGGCCCAACAACATGGAAATTCTCAAAATAATTATGCTGAGTGAAAGAAGACAAAGACACACAGAAGAATACATATGGAATGATTCCGTTTGTAAGCCAACCAGCAGTTGCCTGAGGCCAATGATTGCCATAGAGAAGGATTAACAATGGGCAGAAATAGATAAGCAAGATTATACTGTATAGCACAGGGAAATATACACACGATCTTATGGTAGCTCATAGAGAAAAAAAGTGACAATGAATATATATATGTTCATGTATAACTGAAAAATTGTGCTTTATGCTGGAATTAGACACATTGTAAAATGATCATAAATCAATAAAAAATGTTAAAAACCCCAATGGGCAGAAAGAAACTTGGAGGTGATGGATATGTTTACTATCTTAATTGTTGTTATTTCATAGATATATACATAGATCAAAATGTGTCAAATTGTACACTTCTAATGCATGCACTTTATTGTGTTAATTATACCTAAAGAAAGCTCTGAAAAAAAGTAAGCACATTACAGATAGAGTTGGAGATCCACGCTGCCCTCCCTGATGCCAGTCCCCAAGTGACTTCTATCCCATTTGATGCTTATCATTTCTATGCATGCTTAATACTTTCAGTTCATGTGTATGTATCCAGAAACAATATGGATAGCCTTGTTTTGCATGTTTGTATCATTTTATAAATGGTATACTTTGTGTACCTTTCCACAACTTTTTGAATTACCTTTTTTTAAATTGAAGTATAGTCAATTTACAATGTTGTATTAATTTCTGGTGGACAGCATAGTGACTCACATATACTTATATATTCTTTTCCATTACAAGGTATTGAATATAGTTCCCTTAGCATTTTTAAGATTTATCTCTGTGGATTCAAGTATCTGTAGCCAATTTATTGTAACTGCAGCATTTCATTGTGTGACTAGAAGCCAATTTCCTCATTATCCTCTTGATAAACATTCAGGCTGCTTACAGTTTTCCCCCTATACACATGCTGCAGTGAACATTTTATAGTTGTGAATACGTGTGAGAGAGGATCTCCAGGGTAACTATACTAATAGGGTGGACTTTCTGGCTGGTAGGGCTTGTGTGCCAGTGACATCAGCAGGTTTGAGTGTTTCCTATTGTTGAACTTTTCATTGGCATATTTTTGGAAGCTGATCACCAGCTTCTTTGGGTTAGTAAAAGGAGTGAACTGTTCACATCCCTGTCTTACAACTCTGTGCAAGGCTAGCTTGGAATGGAACCACGATGTCAAATACTTTCATGCTGCTGCTTTTGCCGCTCTGTTTTGCTCTCCTCCTTCACTTGGGCCCTTTTAACATTCACTTGCCATGATTAGTGTTGCCAGTTACCACAAACTCCTGAGAAGTTGACAGAGCCTAATTCTGAAGCAGCACTTTTATCCTACCAGCTCCTTTAGCATTTATTCTGACTCCACGGAATGTGCTCTAAATTTACATCCCTGGTACTATGGTTGCATAGTTTTAAAAATGCAGGATTTGCCTCTAAAATGTTCTTTGATATTTCATTGTCTGTGTGTTCATCAGACTCCACTGTGGAGCCTTATATGTTTCTTTATATAAAAACTCTCCCACCAACACAAAAAACTTCTCCCAAGCTTTTAGCTGAGGGGCAGCTTTCTCTCAGAGAGAATTAAGAACAGAGCAGGAAGCACAGAGGGTTAGCAGGCTGGGCACTGCCTCAACAATTAGGAGCATTGTGTAGTCACAACCTCCCTTTGTCACTAAGCAACAAGAAGTTGACCTGCTGAGATGCTCTTTCTCTAGATGTAGCCTGAAAAAAACAAGAGGAAAGTTTGCCTTTTCTGCTCCTTTCCTGGAAAGATGCAAAGTGCTTTAGTAGGCTCCTGGGTAAGAGTACACTTTACAATTAATCCTGGCCCCTGGCCCTGGGGTAGTACCTGTAATGTGAATGAATCCTAAGAGTAAAGCAAGAAAGGTTTCATCTGGCATCCAGGTTCAAGGGGTACCGCCAAACTACACACTCCCCCTCAGCCATCCTGAGCTTACCTCGTCTTCCTGACACCATGTCTCCTTCCATGTATCCTGGTCTCATGCTAACTAGCTGATCCTCTTAGTTCTCCAGCTGCTCCATTTATTTCCAGTCCTTTGGTTGATCCCCACCAAACTTGTGTAGTTTGACTGCTGTCTAGACTGAGAACATCTTTAGGATTTATTTAAACACTGTTTTCTTCTATATGTATGTTCCACATCTTGTCCCATGCCTGGAATACAGTAAAGGCCCAATAAATACTGTTGAACTAAACTGAATAGAAAGGGGTGCTTGACAGGTAGTAGAAGGATGGACAGATAAGTTGGAAGACCCAAGCCCTCAGTGGAATGAAAAGATAAGGGGCTTCCCAATCATACTTAGGAACCCACTTTGATGGCCAGAGGCCAGCTTGGGACAAATTCTTTCTCCTCAGGGCTATGATCATGGAGTGGACTAGATGCACTATCCTATCCAGGGAGCATTCAGGACAATGAGGTTGGGCCATTAGGAGTTCATTGACCAGACTTGGTCATCCATGTTGTCAGCCTAATGATATCAGCGCAGTACAGCTCCTTATACCCTTGATAGGGGCTCATTTCTGTCTTCTGTCGGTCCTTACCTCTGAAATTGTCTCTAGAAGGTATCCACTGTTGGTGAAATACTTCTTTTGGCAAGTTGATCCCTTGCTTAGGTGCTCCAGTTTCAGAGGGTGCCCTACTCGCTCCAGAATAGCAAAATGTGTGGCGAACAGATGTTCATAACTTTGTCAATAGATGCAAAATATGGATCCATTTAATCCTTGCTCTTCTGGGACCTTTGACCTATTAGGACAATGAAAGGGACTTCCTTTCAGATCCCCTGGGGAAAAACTGCATCACTAGACGGTGGCACTGTTCTCAAAAGTCTGCTCAGTGCTTCATAAGTCACACCAATTCAGAACCTATCTGATCCCCTCCCCTGCTGAAATCTTCCCTTGCTTTTAGAAGAGAATTCATATTTCTAACCCAGTCTAGGCCCTGTCTCTCCTTGACCTCACCTGGCTTCTCCCCAGCTTGGTCACAATCCTTAAGTCATAAGGCCTCTTTTTGTTGTTCTTTTGTTCTTCCAACACTACTCTCTCTCTGGCCTCTATATCTTTGCACCTGCATTTCCCACCACATAGAATGCTCTTCCACTGCTCTCATGGTCAAGTATCACCCCCATTGTCATGAGGTGCTGTCCCTGTTCCCTGTCACTCGATCTAGTCATCAGGTTATTTTTTTCCTGACCCTTTTCACTTGTCTCTCTCCCCCAACTGAAGGAAAGTTCATAGGGGCCAGGATCTTTCTGTCTTCTCACTGCTGTCACCCTAGCCCATGTTAGGACCCTATGAAGAAAGAAGGAAAGAAAGAGAAGGAGAGAAAGGAGGAGGGAGGGAGAAAGCAATGAGGGAGGGAGAGGGGAGGGAGGGAGGAAAGAAGGAAATTACCCCTTCCTTACACACACACATAACCCTCCCAGGTGGACCAGCACAGCTGAGGCCAACTGCTCTAATGGTAAAGGGAGATGTCTCCCCCTGGGCTCTCAGCTGGCCCCTCGCCCAGGGTGTCCCCTGTTCTCTGATTCTTTCTATTCTGTGAGGAGCTCCCAGGAGAGGCTTCTAGCCTGGGGGACCCAAGGTCTGGGACTCAGAGTGGGGGTTTGGCTGGGATTCACCTTTAAGCCTGCCTTGTTACAGCACAACAATGGCTTCTATGGGCACTACAGAGGCCAATTCAAGGGTGAAAGTTCTCGAGAATACCGTCTTGCAGCCAAGCCCCAGCCTCCAGCAGTGTTCCTGCAGCGATGTCAGGTAAAAGGTGGCCCTGGAGGCAACTAGGGCGGTTGGGCCAGATTCTGCTTCTCTGGCCCCAAGAGCATTATCCTCAGCACCACCACAGCTGGACTGTCACGAGGCCAGCCTAGCCCTGGGACTTGCATGAGGCCTGGGCCCTCTTCCCTGAAATATCAGGTCTTCCCCCTGCAGATAGCATGGAGTACAGCCAGTACCAGGCAGTCTTGCCCAGTGCTCCTTCTGCATGGAGGGAAGGTCAGGGCCTAGGTGGGATGAATGGCCAGAGGGAAAGAGCCTCTAGAACCCAAGAAGTAAGCCCTGAACTGTGCCAACAGCTGCCCTTCAGCACAGATTCCTTCATGCGGTGAAAGTCCACTCTAGCTCACAGTCAGCTTTATAGTCCAGGGGCTCAGGAGTGAGTAGGAGGCCTCCTCTGGTCAGGGAGACAGCATTAAAAGTAGCAGGTACCTACTCCCGTGCCTAGCTAAGGAGGATTGGAAAGGATTGATGGCAGAAGTGGCCTAGGGTGGCTGGAAAAGGCTTCCAGAAAACAGGAGAGGGATGGAGGGATCCAGGCCCTCCACTACTTCCAGGCCTGGAGACAAGGAGGCACTAGTATTAGTCAGAGTCACAACAGTAAAAAGCCCACTCAGAACAGGGGAACTCAGGAGGGTATACATTCAGAAGAGTAGGTGTGGGGGCTTCAGGAAAAAGCAGTCTCACAGGGTGGTAAAACTGAGTTATCAGTACTGCTGGGCCTGAAGGGACAAGGGGAAGGGGGTGCTCCTAGAACCCAGAAGGAGAGAGTCGTGTGGAGGGGGCTGGCCTGAGTTGGAGCCAGGAGAAGAAACACCTCCTCCCATCTTCCCTCCATCTTCTTCCAGGGCATCCCAGTGGTCAGAAGGAAGGCAATCTGGGGAAAAGTGTGCTCAGATAAGACTCCTGGGCTAGATTAGGATGGAAGAGGGCTAAGGGGGACCTGGAGGTATGCCTGGAACAGGCTCTGCCCACTGCAGCTTCTTGCTTCCCAGCCTCTAGCCAGGTCCTATTTGGCCACCTGGATTCTCTACAAATTGCTTTCCCAGGCCAAGAACAGGGTCTTGGAGTCTGCTGTGCTGCAGAGCCTGAATTTCCTTAGCATGCCAGTTGGAAGGACTGCCTGGCACAGCCTACTGAGCCAGGCCGAAATGCAGCTCCAGACTGCTCATCCGGGGCTACCCTCCCTGAGAGAGTGATGAGGTCTGGGTAGTGCAGGGACAGAAGCAACCTGGGGACTTCCTGCTAGGTGTTTGTAGTAGTCCTCAGTGGCAGCTCTCATCCCAAAGAACCGAATGTGCTCTCAATCTGTCCTCCAGGAACAGAGTGGGGGACATATTTGGGCACATGTTTTGATTGAAGACTTGCTACATAAAGCATTTATCAGCATTATCAGTAACCCCAAACAGTATGATCTGTGTATTGGGTTCCGGTTGTACAAATGCCAAGTCTCCTGGCTCCTTCTAGATCGAAAGCTGTTTTAGTTAGCTGGGCTGCTCAAGGAAGGTGTGCATTCTTTTCTCTTATTAGCTGAGAGATACCAGGTGTCAGCTGGCTGATTGTAGCTATTCTTGTTGAAGACCTTTCCAAGATACAGCATCCACTTTACTTCAGTTTGGAGCAGGTAGAAATTTTGTCATTCAGATGTAAGAAAACTCTTTTTTATTTTTATTCATTTTCTTTTTCATTTCTTTCTAGCCTTCACCTGCCTGACGCTTGGGAAATATAATCCCGGTATTGTTTGTTCTTAAGGTCAGACAAGAGTCCCAGGGGCTTGGTTGGAGTCAGGTCCCTCATTGGTGGTGCCATGATTGCTGTGTCCCTTCCTCTGCCTCACCCTCCACCACTCCTCAGTCTGCCACAGGGGCTCCTCACTCAGTATCCGGCTGACTGCACACTGCCCAGCCTCCACAGGGACACTTAGCCCTCCCACATGCTAACACTGACCCATCCCAGGAAACCTACCTCTCCTCCAAGTCTTCTTCAGCTGGAACCCCAGCCCAAGCCCCACCTGCTCAGAGACCATGGGTTTTACCACCTCAGTGGAAAAGTAGCCCTTTGTTTTAGAAACAAAGATGCAGGTGAAATTCTCCTCAGGGACAAGGATACTCAGAACTGCCTGGATAGAGAGGAAATGACTGCACTTTTTACCAGGCTCCCACAGTTGTGAGAATAAAACTCAAGTCAGTGGGAGTCGATAGATTATCCTGTCACTATAAGAAGAATGAGTTGCCTGAGTCAGAGCTGCCTCCACATTGTAGGACTGTGTACAATTTTATAGCTGAGGATTGAAATGGGGAAGAAATTGGAGGGGTTAATTGGAAGATGTCCCAGACTCCCAGGTTTTTTTAATTGAAATTTTTATTGAGATGATTGTAGATTTATAAATAGTTGTAAGAAATAGTACGCTTTGCCCAGTTTCCTCCAATGGTAACATTTTGCGAATCTATAGTATCATATCATAACCCTTGACATTGACATTGATGCAATCCACCTATCTCATTCAGATTTCCCCAGTTTAACTTGTACTCACTTGTGTGTGTACATCAAGATCTATAAAGTCTTATCACCTGTGTAGGTTTTTGTAGCCACCACTACAGTCCAGATACTGACCAACATCCCAAGGATCCCTGGTCTTGCCCTTTAGTGACTGCACCCACCAGCTTCTCATTCCTCCACTCTTCCCTTGACTCTAACACCTGGCAACCACCAGTCTCTCCTCCATTTCTAAAATTTTGTCACTTCAAAAATGTTATGTAAATGGAATGATACAGCATGCAACCTTTGGGGATTGATTTTTCTTGATCAGTGTAATTTCCTGAAGATTCATCCAAATTGTTGTGTGTATCAGCAGTTCATTCCTTTTCATTACTGAGTAGTATTCTGTAGTATGTATATAGCAGTTTACTTAACCATTCACCTATTGAAAGATATCTGGGCTGATTCCCATTTTTATTTCTTACAAATAAAGCTGCTATGAACATTTATATACAGTTTTTTTGGGTGAACATAAAATTTCATTTCTTTGGGCTAGATGATCAGGAGTACAATTGCTGGATCATAATGTAGTTGCATGTTAAGTTGTTTTTTGGTTTTTTTTTTAACTGCCAAACTGTTTTCCAGAGTGGCTGTTTTAGATTCTACATTCTCACCTGCAATGTATGAATGATCTGATTTCGCTGAATTTCTGATTTCTCTGAATTCTCACCAACATTTTGTGCATTGTGGTTTTAATTTGCATTTCCATTATGTTCAGTGATGGTGAACATCTTCTCATGTGTTATTTATCATCTGTATATGCCCTTTGAAGAAATGTCTTTATGTCATTTGCCCATTTTCCAGTTGAATTGTTTGTTATTTTACTGTTGAGTTGTGAGAGTTCTTTATACATCTAGATACTAGTCCTTTATTCGATCTGTGGTTTGCAAATATTTTCTCCCAGTTAGTAACTTGTCTTTTTATCCTCTTCATATGGACTTTCACAGAGCAAATTTTTTTAAACTTCAAATGAATTCCAATTTATCAATTTTTTCTTTTATGGCTCTTGCTTTTGGTGCCATGCCTAAAAACTCTGCATGTCTCTGGATTCTGAAGATTTTTTCCTATATTTTTTTCTAAAAGGGCCCTGGGTTTTTAATTTCTGTTGCATCACCTTGGTTTTATGAGGAATGAAAGATAAGGCAAGCTGTCTTCCTACCTTCATGGAGCTTTCATTCTATTTGGAGACCACAACCAGCTGTCTAAGGCAGGAGGTCCCAATAGGGGAGCTTATTAAAGGCTCCACTCTAAAGATTATGGTTCAGGAATCTGGGATGGAGCTAGCCCCTGACTTTTACCTAGGAACCTGCTGTCAGCCGTTGCTCATATCCTAACCTAGCCAATACTGAACTTACCAGGTCAGGTACTACATTCAGGCCTGCAGCAGGAGAAGCTGAGTGGCTGGGCAGTGGGGTCCTGGAGGCAAAGACTTGACTGCCTTGGGAGAGATTCCTGCTGAGGTCTAGGGGCCTGAGAAGTGGTCTTGCTCTGCCTGGGGATGGGGCATGGCTCTCTGGCCCCAACTGGGCCAAAGCAAATGCCCTGGGGACCCTCTGTCCCTGTTCACTGATTTAACAGCAAACGCGAATTGAGCGCAGTGCGAGGCTCTGTGCTGGAGATATAGATGCAAGATAGACAGTAACCTTTGCCCTTGAGGAGCTTATGCTCTAGTCAGGGGCATCATATGATAAGCAACATCATAATATGTAGTCATATAGTTCATTAGAAAATTAAAAATGTGGGGTTGGGTGATGGGACTGCTGATGTAGTGGTTAAGGAAGGCCTCCCAAGGGGCAGGTGAGAGGGAGTCATGGCCAGCTGGGAGAAGAGTTCCAGGCAAAAGGAACAGGTAGTACTAAGGTCCAAGGTGAGTAGCTAGTATATTTGGGGAGCAGTGAAGATGCCAGTGTGGCTGGAGGAAGTAGAGAAATCAAAATCATGTGGGTCCCAGGGACCTCTGTGATGACTTTGGCTTTTACAAATACATGGAACTATTGTGGATTTTGGCAAACAAGGAATGTGATCTGATCTACATATTAAAATAATTACTCTGTCTGCTAAGAGGACAATAGACTGAAGGGCAAGCTTGGAAGCAGGGATAAGGGGCAAGTAGGAAGCTCTTGCAGTAATTCAGGATGAGAAGAAGGTGACTTGGACCAGGGAAAGCAGTGGCCGTGCTGAGGAGTGGTCTGATTCTGGGTATATATTGAAGGAGGTATCAACAGGATTTCCTGGCACATTGGATGTAGGTTGTGAAGGAAAAGAATTAAGGGGACTCCAAGGTGTTTGGCAGGATCTAGCTGCCATGACCTGATCTGTGGGAGGCTGAAGATGGGGTGGGTTTGAGGAATGATACAGAGCTCAGTCATGTGTTTGGAGATGCCCATTTGACATTTACCTGCAATGTGGAACAGGCTGTTAGCTAGTGAGTCTGGAGTTTAGGAGAGAGATTGAACTATAGAGAGAAATTTCAGTTTCAAGGTGGTCCTTAGGGCCAAGAGCCTGGATTACTGATGAGGGAGTAAAAGAGGGAAACAAGAGAGCTGGAGCCTGGTCCTGGCAGATATAGAGCTAATGGGCCTGATGGAAACAAGCCATTGCCTCACTGATGGCAGGATGTCCTGGAAGATGCCTCAGGCCCTTCCTCAATCAGTGTCCCCAAAGACTTCTGCTTTGGGAGTAACTGCCAGGATGAGATGGCCCAGGAGTGACGTAGTTGCTTTAATTTGTATTTGCCCTTTCAGGGTGTTGGCAGGTTAGCAGTTTAAGGGTGGTGGCTCCTGGCAGCTTCCCTCCATTATGGGACCCTGAGGTAATGTCTTGGGGACAGGTAGGCATCATTCTTTCTCATTCACCTTCTTTCTCACTGTCTTTCAAGGAGCCAGCGCAGCAACATTTCTTCTCCAAGCATGACAACCGTACTTCTTTCGACAGAGTGAGTGCTAGAGAAAGAAGGCAGAATGGGTAGGCCCCCAGCCCAGGTTGAAGCTGAGGTAGGGAGGAGGGGATAAGACACTGAGGGGAAGGAGGGCTCCTTTATACAAAGGGGTGTCTGTCTGCCTGACAACCTCTCTCCTCTGGGAAATAGATCATTCCCCAAACGGATGTACCTCCACTTTGGTTTCCTCCACCAGCTTGCCTAATGTGCAAATATCCTGGGGCCACTGACTTTCCGGGGGATTCATTCACTCTGAAATGGAAAGTATGGTTGGGAAGGCAGGCCAGAAAGTCTGAGGTACAGGCCAGAAAGCTTAGGCACAGGTCAGGCATCACTAGGCAGGCCTCGGTTTAGGAGAGGCCCAAGGAATTGCCTGGTACCAGGACTGTGGGCCAAGGGCCCGTACCATTGAGGAGGGCCCTTATTGCCTGCTCCAGGGAATTGGAAGGCGGAAAGACCTGGAGCGCCTGTGGCAACAGCACACCTTCCTGCGCTGGGCACCCTGTGAGTTGGAGTTGCATCAACAGCGGCCCCTCGAATCCTCCTACCAGGCTGATTTACCGGTCTAGGGCCCAGGGACTCAGTGAACTCCCCCAGCGCCTTGTCCACTTTGCACCAGATACCAGCC